TATATATATATATATATATGTATATATATATATTTATTTATTTACAAAAAAAATAAAATAAGTAAGTAAGTAAATAAATAAATAAAGGAAAAAAATAAAATAAATACAGTTGTCTGACTGGCTGACGCTGCTTGGGTTTGAGGGAGCTGTCTAGTCCGCATAAACCTCTATTGATAATGTAGCAGTCCACTCGTTTATAAAGAGCAAATTGGTTGTTAGACCAGAGAGAACTGTACGACCAAAACATCAGATAAACTCTTGAGTTCTGCTTTGATATAAACTGTAGTTTTGATAGCTCACTGTTTTATTCGTAGAAAAAGGTAGGAGTTTTGGTAGTTATTAATTTAAAGAAAGTCTGACGGTAATTAGTATGCGTGTTATACATTAATAATAATTACCGTCAGCAAGCGTTATACATTATTATATAGATATAATGTATTTAGCCTATATATATATATATATATATATATATATATATATTATGTTTGAAATTATTACAATTAAATCTATAGTTCTTTCCTATATGCCTGTGCTACTAGCATCATATTTGATTTTGTTTTTGTTTGTATAAACGAATATTATCTTATTTTATTATTATTATTATTATTATTATTATTATTACTATTATTATTACTATTGTTGTTGTTGTTGATAGTAATTGTCATTGTCGTGATTGAATAGACAATAACTGTAGTTGCGTCAGGAGAAATATGTATAGGTGTAATTTTGCCCTACCTGACGTGAAATCTGGAGTTCGTGGGTTCGATTCCCACCCAAGAGCAACAACATCAGTACATTTCCACGTCAGGTAGGGCAAAATTACACCTATACATCATCATCATCATCATCATCATCATCATCATCATCATCATCATCATCATCATCATCATCATCATCATCATTATTATTATTATTATTATTATTATTAATATCATTATTTATCATCAATATTAGTATTATTATTATAAATATTATTATTAATCTATTTGCCTATGCCCTGTGTATATCACAGGACGCTTGTTGACGGTAATTAGTATTATTGTACACATATACTAGATACCGTCAACAAGTGTTGTTGACGGTAAGTAGTATTAATTATGTACACGCATACTAATTACCATCAACAACAGTCAACAACGCTTGTTGACAATATCCGATAGGGCATTCTAGCGAAGTGGTTTAAAGGCTGGTGGGTACATCCCGCTCAATGGACATTAATTCAATCGACTTCAAAAGTTCGTTTAAATAAGCCTATTTGTTTGTCTCAACCTATGAAATAAAAGCTTAAGTATTGCATTTCAATTATGACTCTTTTGAGAAGAAAAGGTGAAAATTGCAATAAACGGATCATAAATAATATTAGTAAGCCTAACAATTAGGCCTACATAATAACTCAACAGTGGCGGATCCCTGAATTCGAAAGAGGTGACCCACGGAGGGACATTAACAGACTGAGGAACCACCCACCTCAGCCCCACCATGGTTTGGCGGAGGTAAGACAATTTATGATTAGGGTCACGGTACCTCTAGATGGCCAGAAATTACACTCCCAGTCTTAAATATCAATATATTTTTCTTTTTGTTTTTGAAAAAAAAAAATAGGTGGGGTGGGGGATGGGTGGCGCCTACCGACCATCCCCCTTGAATCCGCCACTGCTCAAAACATTTTCCATCCAAAGTAGTCATAATCACGAAAAATGGACATGAAAAACCAGATCATATACTCATTGATCTCTTTGCTCTCTGGAAGTATTAGACCTACCTACTTTTATAAGACTAAATATATTATAGAAACCACACTAATTTGAGTGGCCACTCAAATTAGTGTAATTTAATCTAATCACCGCTGATTTTTCGCGGGAGCTCTGTCCCTGCACCATGACTACCGACGCATTTCCCAGCTTGACTCACTTCACTTTAGTGCGCACGTTAGAATTGTCATCATTCAAACTACGCCACCGCCTAGCCTATGTCAACATCATTCTCATCGTCGTCCTCGTCCTCATCATCAGGATAAATAACATGACCATCGTTACCGTCATCCAGTGGTGGCGCCAGAGGGGGTGGGGGCTGGGGCTATACCCCTTCCCTGTCGGGGAAGACTGTAAGTTTTATCGGGGAACAAACAAATAAAAAAAAAATATTTACATGTAATATTCGTTTAGCCACCATATTGTTTGTGTTAACTTTTCATCAACAACAATAACAATAATAATAATAATAATAATAATAATAATAATAATAATAATAATAATAATAAAAATAATAATAATAATAATAATCATAATTAAATGAGACTAATTAACAATAATCTGCGTTCTGTTATGACAAATGCTCATTTAAATGATGGTTGGAATACATCTTGATAGGTGAAGCAACCTCGACCATGAATGCGTGGTTGACAGATTTCATGCAAAATTTCCAAAATATAGAATTTCACTTTGAATTAGATGGTTACATTGCATACTCTTTGTTTCTTGTTTCATTCAAAATGTTTTGGTTTTGGAAGCTGATAACATTAGAAAGCATAGCATACATGATATATCGGTGCCTATCAAATAAGTAATACAAATTCGCCATAATTCATCAAATATCCTTGGCTTCCAGGGGGATTCGCCCCCTGGACCCCCACTGGGGCCCTGGGCGGCCGCCTGGCCCCACCCAAGGGAGACTCGATTCGCTCCACTAGCCCCCACCCCCGTCGGGGCCTTTAGCTCTCCGTTATACTTTGGACACCTGAAGTAACAACATTCTAACACAGCCTCCACCCCACGCTTTTACAAACTGGATCGTCGCTTGATTCCTATTGCTTTATAAAGTACTGTATACCTTCCTGGTAGCTGTCCATGGAGCAATGAATACCTACATTGTCTTTCTGCCATAAATAAACCAAGAATTGAGTAAATATAAACTGCTTATAAAGTAATCGAGATCATCTAGAAAGTGATATAATAATATTATTCAATTTTTGTTCGGAACACAATGTATCCACTTGTAAGTCTATTTTTTAAGATCATCAATATGTTTACAAGATAATGCATAATTTTAGCCTGTGTATTCAACACAAAATTAAGGGTTACCAGGCAACTCGTAAAAATATATTAGGGTATTTTTGAAAGAACGCCCTGATTACAGCTGCAGCATTATGAAATTCTCCCCAGGGAGCTTAGTATGTGTTCCATATGTGCTAAATCCAATGAGCGGGGTAATACGGTAATAACATCCTTAGCTTAGAACCCTTGTTTTGCACGGTTATTCATGAAGGAATATATTATAAGCATCTCATTTCATCTTTTTATAGGATTGATAATAAATTTTACCAGACAACTAAATGTAATGTTAATTATGTTATAGTTATTGTTTAAATTAATACTAGGGGGGGGGGGGGAGAAAAAATTATATGTATTTTCTACCTATTAGTAGACTCTTCGATTAGTAGACTAATCGATTAAACAAGCCTTTGAAACCCCTAAATTGTCGAAATTTTGTGGGGGCTTCCCCCCCCCATTTTCGAAGCCTTTTAATCGAAGCTCGACCACGCCCACTTTGCTTTCGTCGGGGAAATCTGACCCCTCGTCGGGGGAATGGCCCCCACCCCGTCGGGGGCCTCGCCCCTCCCCCTGTCGGGGAAATCCTGGCGCCACCCCTGTCTAAGCCTAGATAGTCCTGGGTTCAATTCCTGTGACAGCTGGTCTTTTTCTCACGACTATAAAAATAACTGCACTACCTAAGCCTCACAACCAGACTTTGCTGACAAAAGCATCACAGTTTTTTTCATTTATTTAAAGAGGGCCCCCTGGATATCAACCGACCTTTTCGGGATATTGCAGGCACGCGATTTTTTTCCCGTACGAAACATTTGCATGAAACTCCACTCGGACCGTCTCGGATTGACTCGACTCGAGTTCGATAGGAACAAGAGCAGGCACTTACGCAATGTCGTGACACCCGAGTATTCTATTGCCATTAACTTGTGCTGTTCTTTATATATGTTACCTATGGTAGGCCTATGGAATCTTACCGATTTGTGGGATCATAGTCAATAGAAATTGACTATGGTGGGATGTAGGCTACGTCTGTAACTAATTATGAGCTTCCTGTATGTTTGTTATCAAATGTAATACTCCTACCTGCAACAACAACAACAGCTAGTACTCACTTCTATAGGGTGTAGTATTAGTAGTAAATAGGTACATTCCTATCAAAGGCTAGAGCAAAAGAAGCTAAACTGATGGGCCTAGTTACAAGCTGATTTAGGTCCTAATACCTGCTAGGCCTCATTCATTCATTGGTACGCTGTTATTTTGGCAGCTCAATATTATAGAACTGTCTATTCTCATCTTTTTTTTAAATTTCAAAATAACTGTCACTCTGTTTCATATTTAATCAATAAATACTGGGGTTTTTTTCCCTTCCTCTTTGTGCTTTTCCCTGAAAGTCATTTAAAACTTTGATTAAGTGATCACATTCTCTTACTACGGTATTTATATGACCAAAAATCCAAACTCCCTGCTTAATTTTTAGTAATTCTAGCCAGAAGCAGGTTAACTCGGCCTCAAGGGAACACGGCCCCATGTCAACTCGGCCTCAAGTCAACTCGGCCCCAAGAACAACTCGGCCCAAGTAGGCCATATCGTTATTATCATGATTAGTTATATTATACCTTTTTATATTTTTATTTATATTATTTTAATATTGTGGGTAAACTACGGGGGGGGGGAGGGTGCAACTCTCCCCGATGAGGAGGGTGGGGGCTCCCCGACCCCCGCTGGCGCCACCTCTGGGCTTAGAAGGCAAGCATCTTAACCACTAATCCATTCAACTCCACTCTATAAAGCTCGGATTCCATACAATCTTTGCATGCTGATTGGTCCGTCCAATCCGGGAGTCCTTCCTATTGCGTCGGGGACTGCTACGAAGTACAACGATTGCACTGAAAAATTGTAGCGATAGTGTAGCGATTCTAAGGAAACCAGGCTTAAGGCTTCCAAGCTGACGTGTTTTAGATATAATACTCCTATAATTTGGAACTCAACTGTAGGAATACGTGTACTCGAACGTTCCACACGCCCTGCACATCGTCTATCTTGTGCTAAACATTCTGTCTATTAAATTCGATTTTGTAACCTCGAGAAAAGAAAATAATGGAATCTTCCTCGTATTCAGGCACCGCCAAGAAAAAAAAAATGTGCCTGAATACGACGGGTGGTTCCATTATTTGTGTGCTGCGGTTTCGTCCTGTATACATGTTATATGCATTGTTGGCACAGGAGGGCGGAGGTACGCCCTCTATGAAGTGGCTGCTCTAGTTAAAATAGGAAATATTAACAATTATTACAGGGCATTTCTTAATTTGTATATTATGGAAGAAGCACAATGATTATTACATGGTTGATTATTCTGTTTTTTCCCGAATTTTGCCTACACAGGTTGGTTGCTTTAGGACACCATGGCCAAAGTTATATCCTTCCATATGCTACACGATGCCAATGTTTGTGTTTGTGTTGGAGGACAATTGATCGCACTACTTGAACTTGAACGTAAGTTATTAATTAGTAAATTACTGAATTGCTATATTTTTTGTTGTTGTGATATGAGAAGGTTTGGTAGAGAGGCTACCCTTAATTGTGGAGTTTATTAAGCAAACACAGAAATGTGTATCTTGTAAATTCCAGGCCTAATGTATGTATGATAGTCATTTTTACAACAAAAATATAAACAAGAGCTTTAGGTTTGTGTTTAGTCATTAAAAAATTTTGCACTTGACAGGAGTTAATGTAACAAGCTTAATCAAACTATTTGGAAAATTAAAACATTCTATCATCCAATTATCATGGGTAATGTTTGTATTATCTTTAGAAGACCATAGTGCTCAATAACAATTATAATACTGTGTCATTTTCCTTTTCTTAGGGTTGTTTGAACAAAGATATTATAACAGTCCAGAGTAAGTAGACCTATACAACCTTCCAACTGTAGTAATTGACAAAGTGAGGTTCAGATTCTTTCAACCTTGAGGTCGGTGGCTCAATTATTCACTGGCAACTTGGAAAAGGAAATTTACCCGGAGTTATATTTTTCCAATATTCCAAAATTCTCACCAGTGAGCTTAGTGTGTTCCATATCATTCAATCCAATCACCGGAATAATTTACAACGCAGAGGAGAAGCCTTGTTGGCATGATTACTAAGCCTATAGTACGGTATATCACAATGCAAGAATAGCAGCTGTAAAGCTTGGTTGCCACAGAATCGCTCACTCTATATCATCGGGAAGGTTAAACCTGGTTCAACATTGCCGATCGTGTTGCAGACGAATCGGGGTGGCTCATCGGGGTGCCTTCCCGATTGCGTTACGGCAGCTAAAGTGCACCCTGATCCGCCTGCAACGCAATCGGAAAAGTTGAACCAGGTCCAACTTGCCTGACGTCTGTCGGCCATTGTCGCCGATAGGGAGAGTGATTCTATGAAAACCGAGCTTTACTCACCTTTTCAACTCCATTTTCTGTCTTTCCCTTCTTCTGTTTTTGGTTTTATGTTCCCTCTTTTCTGTTGTCTGCTTTTTCTCTTTGTATACCATTTCTTCTCTTGTTTCTTTCTTCCAGAGCACTCCCTAAAATTGGCGCATCGACATTGTATAATGCCTCGTATATAGTTTAGACACACGTTTTCACATGTTTTACAGATCTTTTTTAAATTTAAAAAATCGAAATGTGTTGAATTTTTTTTCGTACATTTGCACTTATTTGTTTGATTGCTTTTGACAGGGATCGGGGGCCGTTCATAACTCAATGGAGAGAAGCAATTGAAAAGATTCAGAAGTTTACCGAAATTTACGAATATGATATTGCTGTTACAAGCTGGTGAGTTTTTTTTTTTTTTTTTTTTTTTTTTTTTTTTTTTTGCAACATTAAAATATATCATTCAAAAGCTTTTTAGTTGGAACCATAATTGTGATTGTTATATTAATAATATAAATATGTTAGACTTCGTGAGAAAAGGACCTCTAAGCGCTCCACATTGTTACCTCCGGTCAGTGGATCAAATTACAAACCCAACACTCATTCTCAATTTGTAAGTTGCTCAAACGATTTAAGTCTCAGAAGTAAGTGTGCTCAGAGTAGCCACTTAGACGCATTTACTTTCGGGGCTCAAGTAATATGACGTTTATTATGACCTCTCATATTTTTTAAGGAAAATTTTTAGAAAAGGTAATTTCATAATTGTTTACAATTTCAAGTATTTTAGCAAAATAACAGTTGAGAATACGAAAGTGGCAATTATAACTTCCTGAAAATGTGCATTGTTACTAAGCTTTGAACTAGCTTTGAAGTAAAAAGACCAATATGAACTGGGTATAGGATAGTGGAGTGTTTCAAGTACCGTAATACTTTTATAATTATATTTGTTTTGTCTGAATTTACTTCAGATTAAAGATCGTTTGAGCGTGGCTGAAAAAGTAAAAAACTCTACAGTATTTTACCTTACTTAATTCAAGATTCAAGAAATATTATTGGTCTATATCTATCTATCTATCCATCCATCCATCCATCCATTCATCCATCCATCCATCCGTCCGTCCGTCCGTCCATCTACCTGTCGTTGTGTGTGTGTCTGTCTGTCGATCTGGCTGTCTGTCTGTCTATCTATCTATCTATCTATCTATCTATCTATCCGTCCGTCCGTCCGTCCATCCACCCACCCACCCATCCATCCACATACCCACCCAGTGAAAGTTGCAGAATGTGCGGGTCTGCCAACTCAGTGACCCGGGGAATAATTATGCCATTAAGCCAATACTGTACTTATGTTGGCCTTGGAAAACCAAACTCTAACCAGCACTACTCTGGGAACGGGTTTAATAATTTATTGGCGGTTAGTGATAGCACTAATGTGTTTTGCTGTGTTCCTTACATTATAATTCACAAAATACTTTATAAAACCAGTCACTACATCAAACTAACCTTGTTTGAAGAACATACTCCTCACCTCACCTTAGGTAGTTATTAACATTCCTGGGTTTTAGTAGAATTTATAAATTTAGAAAGTAAATCTATGATTTTTGAATAATGTTTAATTTTGTCAGCCAAAATCTAAATACATATCAACAAAATTATAGAAATATGGTCCTGACATCAAACATAACATGAAAGCGTTATTTAATGTCTTTACTTTCTTTGGTTCACTTTAATTGTTTTACAATGTTTGTAGTATTTAGCTTATCATTATTCATACTTTCAAGCTTTTATTTGGCATTATTTATGTTACTTGTATTAATTTATATTTTTATCTGAATTTGTATTAATTACATCTGTCTGCACAGTCTGGTCCAAACGCTAAAGTAAGAGAGATGGGCACTCCGGCCTGCTTCAGGTTTCGAACCTTTACCTTTACTCTTTTTTTTTTTACATCTGTCTCCAATATAATTTATTCTTTTCTATATTTAACTTCACATAACTAACACGCACGCTTACACAACGTCTGTTAAAACGTTGCAATACAGATTAACCTGTTTGTGAAAGGACCAATACATGGAGTAATGATTAATTCTGGTGCTCATAATAAAAGGTTAATTTTTGCCAACTTTGTTTTAAAGGATATCTGAAACCCCTCTTGAAATTTTTAAGACCATGGTCAAAGCTGATAGGTAAGTACACAAATAGGAGTGATGTCAATTTATATAACAAACTATGTATTATGCAAACGTCATGCATTTTTAGTTTATTAAAATACCAGTGGCGATTTTTGATTGATGGCTGTGCTGTTATTCTTTCATGATGCTATGTTGTAACTTCTTTCAATGCATGTTGCTGTGCTGTTACGTCTTGTATTTGTCTTCTTTTAATGCATATGCATGGTACTTTGTTTTTACTTTTTTTCAATGTATGATGCAGTGTTCTCACTTCTTTCAGTGTATGATGCTGTGTTCTTACTTCCTTCAATGTATGATGATGTGTTTCAATAAATAAATAAATCCTTATTTTCTAAGTGCAGTAATTCTGAAATTTTTAGAGAATTTTTACTATTTTTGGATTTGTATTTCTACTGTTAGCTTTAGAGTGATAAACAGTGTTTTAAACTTTTTCTGCCCCTTTTCACCTGTTTTTATTCATTTTATGTCTTATGTTTCTGTGTTTGCAAGGACCCCAATGAAAATAAGTTTTACATTTTGGGGCTTTCCCTTGTAATTGGGGTCATGATTTTGTGCAATTGTTTTATCTTGTCTGTTTTTTTTTTGTATATCATGATTATTTGTATTTTATGAATCTCATTACTAATAAATTCAAATCATATCAAAGCTGTGCTGTTACTTCTTTGAGTGTATGATGCTGTGTTTTCAATGTATACATGACGTCGTTGCTTTTAATGAATGATGCTGTGCTGCTATGTATTTAAATGTATGATGTTGTGTTATTACTTCTTTCAATGTATGATGCTCTGTCATTACTTCTTTCGATGTATGATGCTGTGTTGTTACTATTTTGATGCATTATTTCTTTCTATTTACGGTAAGGAATAACTGTGACCTCTCATGCGCACTTGAACTCAATTTAGTTCAAGTATGGAAGAATTATGAATAATGCATTTATATGTATAAACTTTTTCCTTCCACTTGATATCTTGGTTTCTCTTTTGTTTTCTATCTAATATTCCGAAATATAAGATAGAAATATAATGCAAATGATTAGATACCATTGATTTTTTAAGAAGTTATTTTGATTTATTTATTTTATAGATGGGAGACTGCCGACCACCACGACTCTCATGCCGCCGTCGGGTACTATGATTCGCCATTCAACAATGCATTAATTATTTCATATGATGGAGGCGGTAATGACGGATCATTCAACGTCTATCATGCCAACAGAAGTGATGGAATTAAACATATAGAAGGAGTAAGTGTTGTATTTTTCAAAGGGTGGGGAGTAAACTATTAACATTTATATATAAGCAAATAAGCTTTACATCACTTAGTAGTCAGTTGGTAGAGAATGTTGACTCGGTTTCTGATTGCCGATTTTGCAGTCTGATGTTTTCGCCTTCTTGCAACCAAATCCTTCCAGATGTTTGTCGTGAATTAAGCAAAAACTACAAGAATGCCATTCTGTTCTATAGCCTTTTCACTTAATATATCGAATCTAATCCTTTAGGGATGTTTTCGACGAGTCGATTGGCCAAGCAGTAAGGCAGGGGTGCCGCTAACTACATCCTTAACATCGGCGCTGGTTCCAGCCGCTCCTCGTCCAGGGTTCGGTTGGTAGCATAAGGACTAGTGGCACTATGTAGAGTAGGGGGTTACCCCGATGCTATAGGTCGCTTCAGATGTGAACGTAACATACTATAAGTGCCTCTGTACGGCCGCTAGGTAATCACGTACACCACGCTCATAATTAAGCACAATGACTCTACGCATTATAGGTTATTCTCCTACTCTCCAACCTTTAAAAATACGCTGAATACAGGGGTTGCAACAGGATTTTCCCGTTGGGGGTTCGAAGTTAGTCCTGTGCTACTCATAACTGAAAAGCTTATTTCCTGCAACAGAACACTTCAGGGTACTGTTCACACATTCAGTTCCACACAGGATACTGCATACTTCATTTTTTATTTGTGATTCACATAGGATTGTGCACTTATTGTTTTGATCCACACAGGATACTGCATTTATTTCGGATCCACAGGGTAGCCGTAAATTTAATCCACACAGGATAACTTTTGTAGCTGGGCACGCACATTAGTAGTATGAGTACCATAATATTCACTGTATAATAATGTATAATACATACAATCTTTGATACACACAAGATGCTTTACTCTACCGGCCCACACTTTATTAGTGCTACTACAATTTCAATTCAGTCCACACAGACATACAAACAGTCAGCTTACATTTCTGACTTTCTCTCAGTGCGGTTCCATCAACACTAACTCCCGTTTCTCTCCCATCATCCTACCACCTAACATTGTATACGGTAATCTTTCTACCAGCCTCTCACTTCATAACATTGCATAACCTTTTACACTATTCTTCACATCATACCACACCACTTTCAGTCTCCACACAATCAATACAATACCTTAACAAACTTCATAACGTTACATAACCGCCTGTATTCTGCACGTCATACTACAATCAATAAAATAACTTAAAAACTTCATAACGTTACATAACCGTCTTCTGTACTCTTCACATCATACCACACCACTTTCAGCATAAAAAAGATAAAAAAAACACATATGAACAAAAGTAACTGTCAATCCTCTATTCTGACTATAAAAGTATATATAGAAAAGTATGTATGAACAAAAATAACCCTCGTCAACAATCCCATTGTGACACTGGGCGTGGTAAGGCGTTGCTCGAATTGTTTAGAAAAATATGATTATTTAGGGTTCATTTAGTCAATTTTAGAGTCTACTAATATGTAGAAAATTATTTTTCCCCAGGCCATCAGAGCATTCTCGTTTCTGTTGTTTTTTGGGGGGTTTTTTTCGTTTCAGCAAAACAATGCGTCGGCTGCTTATACAGTATTATACATTTTCAGTTTTATTTTTTTGCCATTACATTTTCTATTCTTCACAATACCGATATGTTATTCCGCCTTGCTTTTATATGCGTTTGCTTACCCCAGCTTCACATAGAATCTTAAATAGAGGAATCAAACCAACTCTGAAAGTCCGAATCCCAACCACGATGAGTTGCGGTAAGGCAGGGGCGCCTCTAGCTACAGCCTTAACATCGGCGCTGGTTCTAGCCATTCTTCGACCATGGTTCGGTTGGTATAACCAAATCTTCTCTGATAAGGACTTAAAATGGAGGTCCATTGTATACATCTGGCTTTTGTGCACATTAAAGAACCCATTCAATCTTTCGGAAAGAGTAGGGGGTTACGCCGATGTTATGGTTCATTTCAGCCCCTGTTGTTGTAGAATGGTACCGTATATGAACATGTATATACCACGAAGCGCCTATTTACGGCTGCAAGGTAGTCACGGACCACACCCATACGCAATTCAGCCCAATGACGCTGCAAGGTATGGGTTGTTAATCTCCTACTTCACATTTACCATTTAAGCATTTAACTTGTTGTTTTTTTTTTTTGCCTACCAATGATCATATTTAACGCTATAACCAATAAATAATATATACACTTTTTTTTAAATCTCAGGTGCCATTGAACTTGGGATTGCGGTACAGATATCTGGCTTGTGCTATTTCTGATGTTACTAGTAAGAAATTCAACCCGAATTTGATCCATAATCACGTTAGTAAAGACCATCCTGCAGAGGCATTGGCAGGCAAAGTAAGTATGGCAGAGGGCTCTAAAGATAAAAACACAGTTTGTTAGTTTTACTTTTTTATGTTATCTGTTGGTGTAAACCAATATAGAGTATGCTTAATCGGAGATTAAAATAAAGGAATCAATAATTTATTCTTATTGTTCGCCATATAGATGATGGGATACTCGGCTCTCGGTGACGTTCACAGCAAATGGATCCCAGCATTCAAAGATTACTATAAGGGTCATAGCAATCCGTTAGGTATATTGTTTCATCTTGGCCAAAAGATAGGGCTGGTGAGTATATTTAATCAAAATTAAAAATAAAGTACGTGATACGTAAATGCCGTGGCCTAAAATTTGCACATTGGCGAGCAATGGAAGATCTCGAAAAGTGACGGTACAGCCCCTTTTTTCGCAATAATTCTAAAACTGCCACATCTCTCTATTTCTCTTGCCAGATCGCGAGACCAAATTTACATTCAAATCGGATCCGACCCAAAATTCTGACAGCGTTTACGATGCGCTGAACGCCAGCTTCTGGATCCGATAAGAGAAGAGGGTTTTGGGATGTTCCCTCTACTTAAGCCACATTTACACTAGACACGATTACACTGTGCGCATCTGTATCGTGTCGTTGTCGTGTCGTAATCGTGTCTAGTGTAAATGAGAATTTACTGTGGGGTACATACTATTAGACAATATCTCCTAGAACCCTCTAAAGTTTAGCCATTTTAATCTCTTATGTAAATTATTTCACATTTGGCTATAAATTTTGACTAAAATTAAAAATAAAAGATAGTAACTGTAATTATATATTAGCACATGACAGTTACAGCACGAAGAACACCCCAAATGATCTGTATGTATCCACAGTGGATATGCATACCAGTATAGCTGACAAATTGACATTTACATGCAATATTGTTCTTGTTTCAGTCGTTGGAGGAAAATGCTCTTGATGAAAAGAACGCAATGGATGTATCTGCCACGAGTCAATGTGTATTTACTTTGATACTCTGTGAACAGATTGACTTATTTCTTAAACGATACACCTCTGGTAAAGACAGCAGGAAACCTGATGGTATAGTTTTGACCGGTGGTTGTGCATTGGTGAGTTGGATATGCACACCATTCCACAATCAAGAGAATAATATACCTCTAAACTAGAAATTGCAACATGCCATCAATCTTATTAAAATGAACTAAGGTGTCTTTTGTCTTTTTTCAGAATGTAATTGCCAATCAAGTAATAGTCAGCAAGTTTGGTTACCCTGTGCATGTACCGCCAGCACCAAATGATTGTGGGATATCTGTGGGTGCTGCCTGGAACATAGTTCCGTAAGTATATTGTATACAATGAACAACAAATAAAATGGGTAGAACCTTGTAACCCCAAGGCCAGCATACTTTAAAATTACATAATTAATTAGTATTAATACTATTGATATATAACAGAATTTATCATATCTATATAGGCATAATACCACAGTATGTTGCGCATTTGTTTCAGTAAACATTTACATGAACGTCCAATAAATTGATAAGTGTTGCACAAGATAATCAGAATCAAACAAGGGTGGTTTAAGCAGAGGTCATTTACTACTATTATATTCTTAAACGTCATAGTTCATGATAGACCTTTCATTAACTATTGTTTCTTGAACAGAACAACATTAACATCTGTTGTTTAGCAAAACAGATTAAACATGTGATGATAAAATGATATATTTAACTGGTTTTCCTTATTATTTGCTACTGCAGGCCATCAATTGCACACAGAATTCACTTCTCTGGATTGCCACTCTTTGATGCAAATATGTTGAATCATTTTGTAAAGTTGCGTGAGGCAAGACAAGTCTCAGTTGCAGACATCGCAAAGCTACTAACTGGAGGTGCAATCATAGGACTCGTTAGAGGACGACAAGAGGTAAGACCTAGCAATAGAGTGCAGACTTTACACTTCTGATGCAATGAAGTGGTTTGGCGCAGCGGGAACGGTCTGTTTCCCAACATTGAGCTCGGAGTTTCAATCCATCGGTCTGCATTTCGCTTGTGTCGTTGAGCAAGGCACTTTATCAATGAATGGTCAATGGTCATATATTTATAATATTTATAATTTATATATATATATACATATATATATGCATGTTCAATTTTGTTTATTCAATACTTGAATATATATTTGAATTATATATTTGAATTTGTTAATACTAAAATTAAGTTTCTGTTGAAAATTAAAACAATAAAATGGATGCATAGAAAACTGTTTCTGGCTATTGTGTATGTCATATCAGCCTAATTAACTAGTTCAATGAAAGGATTTTTTGTAGTGCAAAATTTTTGGAATAGGCCTGAGAAGGGCGTTTTAATTGGTATGGTATAATTTTAAATAATATCCCATATTGTGATAAATAGATATGATTTAGCACCTTTTTTCTGTTTTGTGGGTGTATCTCCCTTTTATTCTCTTCATTTTCGGTATTTTACATTTTCGTTTAATTACATATATATATTTTTTTCTATTATTACATAAATTCTCTATTATATTCATTTGTTATATAAATTGTTAATGCAATAGGCCCATGCATATATAACTATAACATCTAATTTTAATATCGTATTTTTCTTATTTAGTACAATCAAAATTTATTATTTTAAGTTTACAGCTATTAATTGCTCGCCTTTTTCATCTTTAAATCCCGACTAAAAATCTAAACATTTTTTTACAACCAAACTGTTTTTCTGAAATTGTCGCAATGAAACTTGGTTATAGATATCCATCGAGTAATCTGCTTTGCTAAATGTTGTAAATGTAAATATAATCTGAAAATGAGTCTACAAATATGTTTTATTTATTTATTTATTCAGGTATAAATATATAAAACGATTCCAAACAGCAGCCGAGGCTGAAATGGTTTGCATCACAAAACTCTTAATTATACACATTTAAAGGTCATGAATAAAAAAACAACAAAGTGAATACAAAAAAATCAAAATGCTAAAGATAAAAAAAAATATTAATAATACAATTCATACAAAAATAGATAAAATTATTATCATCATTACCATTTTAGTTGGTAAAATATAACAAAGGAAGACATTTTGCTAGTATTTAAATTATGGTTATAATATATGAAGCCGACACTCTATATCACTAGATGTAGAGCTCAGAATGGTTACATTTATGTTAATTATTTGTCACAATGATGGCGTAGAAAAGAATTGAAACGGCGCAATTAAATTGAAATGCTTTCCATATTGTGAAATTTTATCTTATGTTTGCTGGACAATTGATTTATTTTACAAGATGCAAGATACTAGTATTGTCACTTATTATTAGAAAAAATCACAATTAAAATTCCTTTAATTGAATTGTCTTAAATGTTATAATCCTCTTTGTCTCTTCGTTGTATAGTTTGAACTGATGGCTCTCAAGTACCGATCTTAATATCATTCATATTAGTATCCATTTTGTATAGTGGGATTATGTACATCGAAAAACCAGTAGGGATTTTATTTACGTTTTCTATCATAAAATACTGTAATTGTTTGTTTGGTGACAGTCTGGATATCAATAAAACCTTATCATGGTTTCCCACCCACATTGAACACAAAATTGTGCAATGGGCTTATACATACATGTTGTAATGTAATAGATACATGATTCAGTTAAATCTGAATTTCAATTTTGGAAGCACAACTGTTGCATTGTAACCCTTTTATACTGTTAAATTTCATCGCATGTGTTCTAGGGAATGTGATTGATGTTGAACTTTATTTAATATATATTATCTTTGTTCCTTTGAATAGTTTGGAACGAGGGCTCTTGGGCACCGATCAGTAATAGCATTTCCAGATAAAGCTGATGTGAGGGAACGTGTCAATGCTCTGAAGAGTCGTGAATGGTTCCGTCCCCTCTGCCCTTCAGTTACGGTGGAATTTGCTCCAAAGTTGGTAATGGGCGACTGCGCAAATTTTATCACTGCTTTTTATCAGAAGAGTAAGTTAGAATATCAATTTTGAAAACGCTCAATAATAAGAATAAATGATAGTTTTTCTATAGTATTCAGCTTAGTGACTTGCATTTAAGAAGTTACAGTACCCTCAATAATTATGATTGAATAAAAAAAACCATTTATTTAATCACTGATGCCAAACCTCAATCTTAAATTTTAACCTCTTACACAAATGGTAACCTTTTAACTAAACAGATAATCTTAATAGTAATATAATTTAAGGCACACTTAATGTAGATAAATATAGGCAAGTTGATATTTTATCTGAGATTAATCAGTAAGCCGTTGGTTGTAGTAATCAAAGGTACCGTACTGTAGGGAAGAAAAAAAAAATATTAAAAATAATAATAATTATACCAGTAATTATAACTGAATTACATTTAATACATATAGACTCTATCAGAAGACATGCATTGTTTGGGGGTTTTTGTTTCGTCGTTTTTATGACTGTATTTATAGCTTTCAGTTCGTGTTCAAACTGGCGCTATTCTATTATAAAACAAATATACCAAACACAAGATAGCGTTCTCCGCGACTTCCGCGTGCGAATTCTGTAATAACGAACTGGAAACTTTTGAACTTTGATTGCGTTGACAATAGCGTACGCCGCGCGACTTTACGTTTACGCGTAACAATTAGAAGCGTCCGATTTACAATGCGCCCTCTCTTTAGAACACAAGGAACAAATTAACGTACTTGGTAACGAACTTTGGCGTAACGCGAACACCCTATCTCAGATCCATGGCAACGACTAGGACGCCCTCTCCCAAAACTGATTACTTTTCTGTGCCAAATCGACGTTTCTATTTTGAACGCCATCTTGTGTTTAAAAGATCTTTGATATCTATCAAGTGTTTGCTGACGAGATACGTAGACACAATTGGTTTCTTCCAAGGAGTTGCTTGTAGGAGGCTTTTGAAGATTTTGGAAAGAAATTTAAAGTACGGTACTCCTTCATCTCTGTTGATAGCACATTTCTTTTTCTTAATTCAAAACTCTCTGTCAGGCACGTAACAGGGGTCTTGGGTCAGGGGGGCAAAGGTAATAATTTTCTCGGTTAGTAATTTATCCTACCCACCCCACCCACCCCCATTATAGGAAACAATACGACATAGGGCTTAACTGATTTATAATATAGGCCACACACGTGTGTTTGGAACTAAATATAAGCATTTTCATTATGGATTTATTTATTAAAAACATATTCTTTCACCATTATTACACATTGAGGCCCTTCTTTTAGGTGAAACGATCTATCTTAATTTTTTTTTTTTTTGAGTTTGGGACTATTATGTGTTTAAATAACTAAGAAGACTAACCCCCCAAAACCCTAAGAAAATGTTGTGTTTTTAATTCTAGTTTCGTCGGAATTAATCAAATCTCCATAAAATGTGCAATTTTTACAGGAAATTGGCTTACTTTACTGCGCGAAATTTGAGATTTTTAGGCACTTTCGGGGTGGGGGGAGGTGAAAAGAGCATCTTCAAAGGGTGGGGAAAGATTTTTCACAGATGGATATTTTTCCTTTGTCCCCCTGTAGTTACGCCACTGCCGAGAATTATGGCGGCTTAGATCAAAGGAGCAATGGACACTTTTTAAAGTGGAGAAGGTCTTGCAGGGTGTTGTGAGTCTGGTTATTGTATCTTACTTTTTATTCTTGTCTTAAATTTTTCTCTTCTTCTTTTCTTTTCCTTTCCTTTTCTTTTCCCCTTCTTTCTCTTTCCCTCCCTCTCCCCTTTTTCTTTTCTCTTATTACCCAGCCCGGTAGGACGGCTTGGTTAGCCCAGTAAAAACCGTCAGAGGGGCAGTCTGCCCCCTGCTCCCCCCGCCTGTTACGCCACTGCTCTCTGTTACTGCTCAGCGGCCTCTCTAGGATTATTAAAATGGGGTGCGAAGGTGAAGTGAGAGGGCTCGATATGTGAGGTGGCGCTAACTGGTAAAATAAGGTGGTATGGGGTGAATTTCAACTACTTGAGAATAATATTTTTGATTTGAACATTTCCATTGTGGTACGCTTTGGTTACGCGTAGCTATGTCACTGCTACTACATTATGATTTTTAGTTCATTGATTTTTCAACATTCAGATACTGGTAACACTGTGGAGCCTAAACTCTATCCACTGGCTGATTGGACCATCTCGTCAAATCTGCGACTGTATAACGGTGAAGGCTATAAAGAATGGGCACCATATTCACCTTACATGTCCTTTGCTCCGCTTTTAACTGAGGAATCCCAGAAAAAATTTCCTGCAATCACTCACTATGATGGAACAGCTAGGTGAGCTAATTGCGTGTGTTCCAGCTGTATTCACCTTTTTTTAGCATCAGCCTACCATTTTTAACTTCTTCGAACGCCTTCCTTCCTCAAATTCCTCTGCTCTCAAATATTTTGTGATTGCAATAATGTAAATCTTAAAGTTTACAATAACTGTCTAATCTCAACAGGGTCAACAATACTCGTGTATCTAACAAACACACGTGGTATCCCACAGACCTTCAAACGAGTACTGTAAAGACATGACATATAATTTATATAACTGGTTAATTTGAGTCGTAAAGAATAATTATACATTTATGGGGATTATAATTCTAAAATTTATTAATTTTTTTAGATATCAAACTGTTTCAAAGGAGGATGATCCCTGGTACCACTCACTATTGTGTGAGGTTGGTAAGAGAAAAGGTGGGAGCGAGATTCTCCTCAATACATCTTTTAACATCAAGGTATATATATAGTTCACTTAATAGTCACTATAATATCTGCTCACACTCTCACATTTTCTGTGACAAAAAACTGTGATATGCCCATATTTTGGTGCAATATGACGCCATCGTGCCCAAAAATATGGTCACATCACACATAATTTGATAATGTGGACAGAGAATGATGGTACATGGAAGATTAAGATACATCAATACAACCACAATGGACTCTCTCGGGATGCAAATAAAAGCATGGACCTATGGACATGATCAAACCTAACGTCTGGTCAATCAAATCAGGACTAGTAATACATGCTTATTGCATAAACATACGTGTTGCCCCACAAAAGCACGTGTTTCGCTTACGCCTTCGCTTTGCAGTTGAACCTTTACAACAATATCGAAGAGGCAGGGCTTAGCGTAACTGTTAATTTTCTCAAATCATTATTTTCTTTCAGGTGAACTTCCAGTTTCTCCGGAGCAAGCAACATGCACTCACTTATTAATATTATAATTTGTTTGTAGCTACCTTTTCATGTCCATTTTAAAGATTGTTTTAAATTGTCATAATTTGTATTTTTTTTTATATCAGGGAAAACCAATCTTGAATCGTATTAGCACTGCTCTACAAATATTAGACGAAGCCCCTCCTGGTTTTCTAGATTACGTCATTGTTGAAGATTGGCTTTTTACACCGAAGTCACAACAAAATAATTAAGCAATGTTACCCATTTTTATACGTCATGGAATGTTTTAAACTATGTAATAGTATGTTATTTTATTACTATACACTTGTCTTAGTGTTTTCGTGACAGTTAAATGACGGTGACAATATACCATTTAAGTTGCCATTTGTACAACATTAGTCTTTATTTTAGGGGTCTTAATTAGAGGGAGACCTGTATATGCTATTTTATAATTTTATGCAGCATCTGTAATTTCTTCTTGAAGATAATAGATGCTCCGATTCTGATGGTTCTAATTCTGACACTAAACGAGTTTACAGTAATTTGATAGGCCGCTTTGGTTCAGTTTACGTTCGTAAACAATTGATTAAGGATTATTTGATGCTGAAATGGAATTTCATTTGTAGAAGTTTAAGCGAAAAGAAGGTACAATCATAGTTTAAAATTTGGCATCCGAGATTCTAAAAAACCTATATCATTTACATAATTAGCACCTCATTACGTAAAATGGACCTGTTAAATGAACTAATGTTAATGGTAATTGTGTATAACTTTAGCAGCTTGTAATGTTTAGGTAATAAGGTAGCTTTTGACTTAAAAATATATAATCTTGTTATTCATTGGTCAGTTTAAATCTTTACTTTGAATATTCTGGTATTTAGTTAATGTTTTCATGCATTCATAGATTATATTCATTGCTACAATGTTCTAATAAATGACGAAACTTAGAATTATAGTTTCACAACTGTCATTTTATGAAGTTACAGTTTTTATTTTCGCAGTAGCGAATCTGGGAAATGCGTTGTTCTTAACATTTGCGTGAAAAATTGTCTTCGGCGAGATTTTTCTTTGAAGAGCTAAGTCTGATACGTTTACATATTTTGTTTTTTTATTTGAACCATATTTATAGAGGGTAACCGTGTCAGCGTATCCTAGTAGGTGGGTGATATTTAGGGCCCTATTTAATTAAATCAAATAATGTGATACTTTATCAGCCAGGTTTTATTACGGGGCTTATGGAGTGGAATTATTTACACAATTAATGATTCTTACACAAGTTGCTTCGCCCCCTCCACACCCACACACACACCCACACACACACCCACACCCACACACACACACACACACACACACACACACACACACAAGCAGGTAGAGCCATCAAGGGTAATAACAGATCCTCAATTTATATTGTCATGTTCTTGGGTAACACAATTCAATGGCCTGTATACACAAAAACAATACTACATCAAAATAGCAAACATATGTGTTTGGGTGGAAGACTGCTCATTTCTTTCTTTAGCTTATGACGGTACCTATCCCACCATTTCTCCAACCGGAATTACTTACAAAATTAATGATTCCTACACAAGTTGTTCCCCCACCCCACCCACTCCACCACACACACACAAGCGGGCAGTAGACACAACAAGCGGAATAACCGATTTTTGATAACACATTTCAATGGCGGACTACACACAAAAACGATACTACATCAAAATAGCAAACATACAGTTTAGGCATTTGTTTAGTGAGCTAGTGCAGTTTGTTATAACTTTTTAAAATAATAAATTTATTAATACGCATTTGACATAAGCATTACTATTTTGTTTATTTTTGATTAAGATAAACAAATTAATAATGCTAAATTATACCAAATCATTAATGCATTATTAATCTATTTTAATTAATTGAATTAATTGAAATAATAGTGCTAAATTACACTAACTAATTAATACTTTTTTAAATTAATTAAAATAACTATTAATGATATGATTATTTATTTTAAATAAATAAAATAAAATTACTAAACGAATAATACTCATTTTAAATAATTAAGCATTATTAATTTTGTATTTTGGTCATAATATTCACAATTTATATTTTACAATTTAATAAGATTATGATGTGCGCAGGGGAAGATTTAGGGGCAACGGGGATAGGCCTCCCACCATACCAAAGCAATAGAGAGGAAAAGAAAATAAAGGGGAGGAGGAGAAAAGGTACTCGATAATATGATAATGTTTGATTTAGAAATAACATGTACTTTTGTCTAGCATTTTTAAACAAAAATCTAAAGTACTCTTGGTGACCTGGTTTGGATTATGGTGATGATGGCCTACGCCATATCGTACATCCGGGGGAAAAATATCAACATGCGGCTATTTCAAAATATTAATCAATTCGAAACTCTAAAACGAAATAAAATAGTTTGTTAGTTATATATTTCACTGCATAATGCTTGGAAAGTTTGAATGGACCATGTTGTGAATAACAGTTTTTTATTCGACTGGTCGTCTTCGTTTTGTAGGATTTACTACCACTGCGCAGGTGGGCGTGGTTTAACGAAGAACGGCCGGTCGAATACGGCCAATGAATCTTTCTGGAGCGCCAATTAAACTTAACAACTAGCCAAACACAACAGGACCAGGAACACACGTATTGTCCCACAAATGCATTAACATTAGGAAAAATATCTATGGTGCGGGGCTTAGCGGAACTGTTCATCCTCTGTTGTTTCCAAGAAATAAATATAAACCACATGGAATTATTATTCTGAAGATTATAATTTTCATTTTAGGTATCAAACTGTTTCCAAAGAAGATGACCCGTGGTACCACTTACTGTTGTGTGAGGTTGGTAAGAGGACAGGTGGAAGCGAGATTCTCCTCAATACATCTTTTAGGTATTTTTAATTTTACTTAGGTAGTCGAGTGGCCGAACGGTAAGGCAGGGGTACAGCTAGCTACAGCCTGAACATCGGCGCAGGTTCCAGCCGAAAATAAAGGGGAGGAGAACCGAACCCATGGTTCGGTTGGTAGAATCAAGTCTTCTCGGATAAGGACTTAAACTAGAGGTGCAGCGTATACATCTGGATCGTGTGCACTTTAAAGAACCCATTGCATCTTTCGAAAGTGTAGAGGGCTACGATGTTATGGTTCATCCCCTTTCGTTGTGGAATGATGTGAACATGTATCTACCATGAAGCCCCTCTTTACGGCTGCTAGGTAGTGACGTACCACGCACATGCGCAATTCAGCACAATGGCGCTGCAAGTCATAGGTTTTCTCTTACCTTTACCTTTAGTTAGCAATGATGATAATAAGAAATTCATATAAGAAATGTCCTATTCAGCCTCAATTGACATTTCCGGAGTGTGAATCCAACCGAAACTGACCAATCAGGACAGGGCTATGAATACCTGCTTGTCTTACAAAACACACCTGTTGACTCACAAATGCGCTTGATTACGCTGTCGTTTTTTGTGGTATCTTACCAACAATATCCAAGGGGCGGAACTTAGCATAACAGTTCGTTTTCCGGGAAGTAATTAACTTTCATATTAACCTCAGGTTTCTTCAGAGCAACATTTACTCACTCTTATCATAATTTAATTATATATATAAATATATAAATTTGAAAGGCAAATGGGAAAAACCCATAAAACAGCAAACGGCCATATAATGCAAAACAATTTAAAATTAAAATTAAAACGGAACAGTAGAGAAAATCCGATCAGAATGACAAAATAAACTAAGCATCCACTGGAAGGAATACCAATATCTGCAGACGGATATATATATATTTCTTTATTTCAGGGAAACCCAATATTGAATCGTATTAGCACCTCTCTACAAGTCTTAGATAACGCCCCTCTTGGTTTTCTGGATTACGTAATTGTTGAAGATTGGCTTTTTACACCAAAGTCACAACAAAATAATGAAGCATTCTGCTACAAGCATTCTGCTACCCTCCATTTATCGTAAAATGTATTAAATAGTATGTTATTTTTACGTACATATTGCAATACTATATTCTTGGCATAAATTTTTGTGGCAGTTAAATGAGGCCAATACATATACTAGAGAAATCCATCCCATTGACATTTGTACAACCGATACCCATTTGAAGTGACATTCCGATCAAGCCGCTGGAAAGTATGGCATCGTAGTGGATTCAGCATGGGCCAGGTATCCATATGTATTTTAATTTTCAGTGTAATTTATTTTAATGTTATTTGTTGGTGTTTTGTGTATTCAATTTCTTTTACATTTTTAAATAAACTGTTGTTACTTATCCTAATAATTTTTTCCCATTTTATTGGGTTAATGTTTTCCCTAACTTTAATTTAATGACCAGCGACATTTAGAGTAGTTTCATTTATTATTAGTAGTAACTTATTGGTAAAACTAAAACCATGATGTTTTTATTCAAAACGAAACTTTTATACAGAATCTCTTTTTGGAGATAGTAAATGTGACACTAAACTAGTCGACAGCAATTTGATGGGCCGCTCTATTTGCGTTTTCATGTTTGTAGCCACTAATAACGGATTTAGAGGCTGAAATATTATATTCTTTATAGAAGCTTTAGCGAAGAAAATATACTCACATAGTTCAATTTCACTTAACTCCTAATTATGTCATAATGTCTTATGAATCTGTGTTTGTTGATAATTGTGTATTGTTAGAAAAAATTATGTCAATGTCAGATTTTATTGTCCTGAAGACGACTGAAGCAACTCAATCGAAACGGCGGGACATTCTCAACCAACAACGCAAGAATTAATATATAATATGTCAATACATAGGTAATTTGGCTGCATTCTTTGATTGGTTTATTTATAATGTATCTTAATTTTTATTGGTCAATTTAAATCTTCATTTGAATAATTTTGTATTATTTATTGTTTTTATGGGTTATATTCATTATGAAGAATGTTCTTTTTCTCTTTTCTCTTTGTGGGAATCGCCCTCTTTTATTTCAATTTTTCATTTAACACAAATACAAGAATTTTTACAAAATTACGCTCGGGTTGTAGAAGCCCTTAGATACACAGATACCATTTTCAACAGAGAGTACATTTTATTATTATTTTTTTCATTTTATGGTTTTGATCCTTTTGTTAACACATTATGTCATAATCATAATAAATTAATTTTACAAAATTATTATTCATTACATATAGCACATCATAATTCTTTATGCATATTTGTCTTGTAAATTTCAGGTCTCTTACTGAGCAATACATACACTTTTTTGTTCAAAATACATTTTTTTTGTATTTTGTAACTTATACTATTTTTACACATCAATTTATATTTTAAAAAAAATAAACAAAACCAAAGCACAACAAAAATTACCTGACAATAACAACATTAAAAGCTTTCCCAAATTTCTGAAAGTCAAAATTTGCCCACTTTTTTGGCTTTTTCTTTATTTGTTAAAAACTCACATGTGACAAGGCTTTTAAACTCAAATGTAAACATTGATCAAGGACTTTTTTCTTTCCTAGATTAAGTCTATACATCACTTAACATTTAAATATACAAAAAGTTAAAATTGAAACTAACTAATTTGTCTTCTCATCAGAGATTGAGCAACCTTTTTAATATGTAGGATTGAGTGTACGTTCTCTTTCCAACAATGTTCCCAGTTAATTGAATTGTTTTGTAATTCATTTTCCCATTTGATTTGAACATTTGGTATGCTATATATTGGTTTTAAAAATGATGTGTAGAATTTTTTAACATTCTGTTTCTTCAAAATAATGTCATAATTTGTTTTACAATCGTTTTCTCTGTGTGTTAAACAGTAGGGATTATATTTGATAATATTTTTCCAACTATTTGGAATGGCTGCATTTAATTTTGTATGCTCAATCGTGTGTTTTTGAGGGAAATGAAAATATTTCGTTCACCTTTTTAATTCTATCATTTACAATGACGTCACCTACATTTTTTATATTTGACTCAATCCAAGATTTCTTAATAAGAGATTTATTGTTTACAGTAATATTCTTATTTTCCCAAATTCTTTGTATTTTTACCTCACATATGCAATGCGGTTGGATTTCCTGTATGTTATTATAACGGATAAACGTATCAATAAAATTCCTATAGAATATTGGTAATTTATTTAAGGAAAGCATGTTCCTCTAACTTAACTTTTGACATACATATAGTATACTCAATAGGATGCATATCAAATAATGGAATACATTTCCATTTGCCTGAATCAGGACTTAATAGCCTTTTTATCCAACTTAGCTGAAGTGAGTCAAACAAGGAGCTAACATCTATCATTTTCAAACTAACCTCCTAGATTAATGTCTTGAACTATTATATTTTTCTTTATTTTATCCTTTTTCCCATTCCCAAAAATTATATAGAATCTTATTTATTTTGGGAATAATATTCTTTGGAATATCAATAATGCTAGCGTTTTAATTATAATTATCTTCCCAAAATAAGTTAAGTTTCTTTTTTCCCATAATCTTAAGGTGCGCTCTAAACATGCTACCTTATCATACCAATTTCTTTTTATACAAGTAACTTTATCGAAGCCCACAAAAATACCAAGAAATTCGACAGGTTCTTTAACAAAATTGATTTCACAAGTACTGTTGGATTTATTCTTATTAGGACCAATGCCTTTGGTTTTTCCCTTATTTAGTTTGAGACCCGAAACGTTGCGAAAACACTCAATTTCATTGAAAGAATGGAAAGTGGATTGCTTCTAATATTACATACCATTATTTCTACCACAAGAATAAACAATGATGCTGAAAGTGGACATCCCTGACGGATCCCAGAATTCATGACAAACAGTTTATTTATTACCATCAGATGTGTGTAGTGTCAAATACTACAATATACCTGGCTGAGACACTGCAAGCGAAAAGAAAGTAGGCTGCTGCTCACCGAGAGGCAGCTACCGGTCTGGTGGTAAGCGACGGTCACATTAATTATTTTTCCCTCAATTAAGGTAAGATATAGAATGATATTTAGTTCGTGAAAGCGAGACTTATGTTGTTACAATTCTTTCAGACCGGTAGGTTTCGAATCCCAGACGTTTATTGCGGACTTATGTTTTGCATTGTGTTTATAGGATTTGAAATGAGCGTAATTATAACATAGGCCTAAATTGTTCTAAATCAAAGTTTATATATTGTATATAAACAAATGATAATAATAATAAAACTAATAATAATAATAATAATAATAATAATAATAATAGTAATAATAATAATAATAATAATAATAATAATAATAATAATAATAATAATAATAATAATAATAATTCTAATAAAATTTTACTTTAATTTATAGTTAAATCATCTTGATTTACATAGTTAGGCAGATCATTCTTCTTACGTTTCTTAGAAGCAGACATCAATTGACATTTAGTCGATTGGAATTTCATCATCCACATGTTGTCCCATTTGGCTAGCCTGTATTTGTGTCCTGTTGTGATTAATGGATTTGTCTGTGTTATTGTCTAATATTGTATACAGTATAATACTATTTAATTGTATACCTCTGGACAAAGTGAGTGCAAATACTATATGTAATCTGAAACGATATTAATTAGTAATTTATAGTTGCCTGACTGGCTAACCGCTTACTATGGGTTTGAGGGAGCTGTTTAATAATAAAATCTGGTCTGGTCTAGTCTATAACCACTTATTAACGTAGTAGTCTACTCGTTTATAAGGAGTAGAATTGTTTGTTAGACACGGAGCTGAAACTGGTAAGAATCTGAAACTGGTAGTTAATATTGAGTTTTTATTTGATTTAGACATTGATTTTTATAGCTCGCTTGTCACCTTTCAGGTAAGATTTTTAGTAGTGTTTATCTTCATGAAAATCAATAAAACTTAAGAGACATGGTTAGAAACAATATTAAATTATTTCGTTCCCTCGAAAACCAGCTGTTCATGAAGCATGATAAGGAAGAGCCATTTATGCAGGCAGGCATCACACGCCTGTTTTTATATTCGTTTTGGTTGCGGTTGGAGACCGACATTTTTGGCGCTTCATATTAAATTAGATTTATTTGTAAAACTGGCTTGTCCAAAGGAAGAGAAAAGAATGGTCTTTTGCATTTCAGACCGCACTTGAAAAACACTACAAAAAAAAGTTCCCACCACCACTCCTTCCTACCCCTCCAATTGTACAGGGGTGGCACCAGAATTTTCCCGACGAGGGGGTCCAATGTCGCCGACGTGGGGGGGGGGACGCCCATGTCTCCCACGAAAAAAGGTAGGCGTGTGTTCCAGGAGGCGAAGCCCCTGAAAAATTTAACAGTTTAATGGTTTCAAAGGCTTATTTAATCGAATTTATAGTCTATTAACATGTAGAAAATATATACAAACTTTCTTTTCTCTCTGACGAGTTGTGGTTTTGGCCCCATACC